CAGGGCTTATCAACTTCCTTGGCATCCAAGTTCAAGCATGTACTTGTCAGACATGCCACAGTCAAAGGGTTAAAGTGCTTTCCTCAGTCAAACTTCACTGAGTCTATGGGCTCCATCAGCAGTAATCTACTTGTGCTGGCTGGTCTCTCCAGTTTTGCAACTAACAAAATGTTCTTTCTGATGAGTTCTTCCCTTCCCGAGAGCTCAGCCCAGGCCACCCCATACAGACCTAGCACCCTGAGTCACTTCTGACATGGCTTGTACCTTGCCTGTCACTTTTTCTCTGCTTCTGACATACTGTCCTTGCCCGGCTGCCTCACCTTTCTCCATCCCTGTTGGGTGAACTCTGATAGCACAGCTGCAGTTCTGCTTGCGTACCCGAGACTGCTTTGCTCCCAGCTGCAGTTTCTGTGAACAGAGAAGCCACTGCCTGAGCATTCACTCATCATTCAAGGACTCACACAATGCCCCCTGCCCTGAGATTTTAACTGCTGGAATCAGAGTCCCTTCAAAGTGGGCAACTCCAGTGAGACGACTGGTGCCCCTCTCAACTCCTCACTCACACACACTCACTCTTGGGTGCTTCCTTTTCCTTCAGGTTCAACCCCAGTTTTCCCATAGAAGCATCTCACGCATCGTAGCTTATTAAAAAAAAAAAAAAATAATCAGATGGTACAACTAGAAAAAAAAACAGCTTGAGCTGTGTGCCTCCATAGAGGGACTCCAAACAAAAAAAGCCCTGGGCAGTCATATCCTTACATGCACTTGCCCCTCATGCATTCTTCACACACCTTTTTAGTCCAATGATGATTTTTGGTCTGGGGTCTTCTAACGTGTTATTGGTTTCTTTCTGTGTCTCCAGGCAGGCCATTAGCTGTCCTTATCTTGTCGAGTTGCAGCTTCTGCTGATTGTTGTAGCCTCTTTATCTTCTGGTTTGTGCTTCTTGTGCACCCTCTTTCTAGCAGAGCATGGAAAACTAAAAAAATCCTAGACTTAGGATAAATACTATTTAGCAACAACTAAAACATCAGTGTGTTATCAACATTATTCTCGTACTAAAGACAAAACACAGCACTGTACCAGCTACTAGGAAAATTACTAAGAAAATTAACTCTTCCAGCCAAAAGCAGATCTAGGTGAAAGTCTGCAGCTTGCAGCCTAAGGCTTCAGCAAATCCAGCTACTCATGCTAATGCTAAATGAATGACTCTGAGTGCAGAACATGCTATTTAAAACTTACTGATTTAAGCTAAACAACTAGTATTTCTTAACATAGTTAGCCTTTGAAACAGGGTAGGGGATCTTGCTAATACCTTGATACCATGCTTACTGCTATGGGTCCTGTCCCAGTCTCAGAGCCTTATGCTGTGCTTCCCACATGTCCTTGAAAATCGTGTCCCTCCCCAGTGCAGGGATAGGAGATAGAAAAACAGCAAAGACAACAGGATAAGCCCAGAGCAATTCTGTCTTCAACTCTGGAGATGAAAAATTCATTTGGCTGCTTTCCAGGGAAGCTCTGAGACCACGCTGTATCTTAGGACCCCTCCAACCCTCTTGAACAACCAAATACCCAACCCCTTCCTCTAACACTCTTGAGCTAGTTTCCCCAGCAGTTCTTTTCCAGCAGTTCATTCACCAGCGCTTGGATTAATTGTGGGTTGATTCTCTACCCCTCTACACAAGCACAACTCATGAAATGTCTCACTATATGCCATTTTCCTCAGCTAAGCTTTACAATTTAAAAAAAAAAAAATGCCAAGCCAAAGAAACCACCTCCACTACTGTTTCTTTTCACAGCTTGTTTTTCTTTCACAATTGTGGTTATGTTTGCACAGTAGTATTGCTACAGAAAACTGCTGTTAAATGCCAGTTTACTCATCTCAAACCTCTGTACATCATCTCTCTGGGAGTATTGCCTTTTTCTACTAAATCTGCACCTTTTTTCAAAAATGAAAATGTGACAAAAAGTGATTGACTATAGGCACGTTAGTATCTAACTTGTTAGATCATCTTCCCCAGCTCTACATCATCTACAAGCCCCTGAGCTCGGCTTGTCCAGAGACAAAGATAGAAAGGGTCTAAATGCTGCAGGGGACATTCAGACACGATCTGCTTGACCTTGCTGCTGTCCCTGTGCTCAGGGAAGGAAGGGGCAGTGCTGCCTTGTCCAGGCAGGGACTTCCATGGCCGTAGCTTGATGCCAGGGCCTGCCCCAGCAGGAGGGGATACTGTGGTGACAAGATGGCAGTAGGCTGCCGTTGTCCACCCCTCCTGCAGTCGGTCAGCACAGCCCCAGGCCTTCAGGTACCATGCACGCTGTGATGGGAGGGCCTCCCTGATTCATCCTGTGGGGAAAGCTGGTCCTCCTCAAACAGCGGCTCTGGGTCCTCTGGGAGCAGCTTTGGGGCACGCAGGAGAGGGTGCTGAGCTGAGCCTCTCTTAACAAAGGGCTGCAAAGCCTTCGTCATCCCTCAGGCTCTGCTCCAGTCCAGTCCCCTCTGAGACAGGGCCTTCTACCTGACCCCAAAGCAGATGGCATCATCATCATCCCCACTCCAGGGATCTCCTGGGGGGAAGCCCCTTGCAGTGAAGGGGCCGAGGGCTCGGTGGTGCTTCCTGGGTGCCCAGCCTGTGCCTGCCCCACAGGGCCACCCGTTACCATGGCAACGGGGCCTGCTGCGGGTGGTGAGGGGATACAGGCTGTGCTCACCCAGGGCACGGAGAGAGGGGAAGGGGGACCCCGCTGAGGGAACATGCTCGTGGGGACAGGGTCAACTGTGGTGAGGTGTCACCTTCTGCTCCAGATTTAGCAAACCCTGTGGCCCTCAGTCCTCACGACTGGGTGCAAGGTGCTGTTGGAAGGACGGGTCAAGCTTCCGCAGAGCCGTCTGTTTCTCACTCACCTCTGTGTGACATTTTTAGCTTTTCATGAATTTTATCTTAGCTCCTATGAAAGGATAGCATGAATATATGTCATCTGAAGAGGTGTCACCTTCTGCTCCAGATTTAGCAAACCCTGTGGCCCTCAGTCCTCACGACTGGGTGCAAGGTGCTGTTGGAAGGACGGGTCAAGCTTCCGCAGAGCCGTCTGTTTCTCACTCACCTCTGTGTGACATTTTTAGCTTTTCATGAATTTTATCTTAGCTCCTATGAAAGGATAGCATGAATATATGTCATCTGAAGTGTTCTTTGGTGTTTTCTTCAGTGATTAGTTTTAAAAAAACCCTACCACCCACCCCCCCCCTCCCCCAACATGTAGATTATGTGAACGATGTGGGAAACCAGTTATGTTGCCTATTGAGGTGCTGTTAGGAGCAAGTTATACTGTGTTTCACGAGAAGCTTTTGAATCATTCTAAAAAAAACCCCCACAAACCAAAACCATTAAAAGAAACAGTCCTTTCAATAATCAGCACTCATTTGCAAGATATATGAAAAAGTCTTTAATACATCTATAAAAATATCAAGTAACTGTACAAAGCCCCAGTTGCAAACATCATTTTATTCAGGTACAGCTATGTGAAGATTGCAGGATCTGAAATCAACAGACATCTCTTTGCTTACAACGTTAACCCATCCCTCCACCAACCACCCAAGTGAGCAGATTTCTCCCTCAGGTCTGGTGCTCAGCATTTCACAAGCGACATATGGAGGGAAATGGTTTCTCCCGAGTGGCAGGCTTGGTTCAGCAAGCCGAGATCTCAGCAGGGCTCAGCAGAGCTCACCTCCAGAGAGGAGGGTCCTCTGTGCCTGGCTCCGCTCCAGCTACACACTCTCGTCAATGGCAAACTGGCCCTAATCCTGCAAAAACTAAGTAAATTCATTAATAAAGAAAAATTCTAGTCTCAGCCCGTCTCCACAATCTACAAGCCAACACCGTCAATCCTGCCTCAGAACAGGGCAATTTTATATTCCTCTGGGCATGCAAGATTATTGACTTTCCACAGTGGACTCAGCTCTGCAAAACCAAAACACCCCTGGAGGAAGCTGTAGCCCTTCCTTAGCTAGAGAAGAGCTAAGCTTATCACAGCAACCTGTTCTAAGCCATTACCAAACCAAATTTAGTTTCTACTTAATGCAAGTTTCTGATGAATTCCCTTGTTAAGAGCGATTTTGGATCACTCACCTGTACCCAGATTGGAATGCAGGCGTTGGCTTTATCCCAGATTAGTTCACCTTGTACTGTACAATGTAGACTCACTGACCTAGAGAAACAGATTCTGCTGTGTAGTCCTAAGACATCTGGAGTCTGAGACAACACCAGCACGTCACAAAGCCATCATACCCCAAGACTAGTCATTTTGCATGTCAAGACCCCCACCAGTCATGCCATTATCTCTGACAAAAGTAGTCCTTTAAAATCGAGACTTGACTGCATTTTTGTTGGACCGTTTTGATTTTTGAACAGGTAAGCCCACACATATCCAGCACTTCACTTGTAATGTACTCTGCCACAATGCTTCTGAAGTCTCTTCAGAATAGATTTCTTTGCTGTAAGTCTTGAGTAGTTTTAGCTACCTGAGCTCTTGGGCAGACGCATTAGGATTCATGAGAGAACTGTAATCTATGCATGTGTGGATCCATTGCACCTTATTAAACAGGCCTGTTATGGTCTTCCTGGGCACTTACCAAAGATCAGAAGCAGAGCACTCCATCTATCCCATCTTCCCTGAAAGGGTTATTTATCAAGCAAAGAAATGAGCCCATATGTTGCATCTAGCCAATTGTATAGTCCAAAAATACTCTTTTCCATACTAAACTACAAACACATGTGCAGGGTACCTGCATTTCTCTAAATTTCCTATACATAAATATATATATATATTTACAAGTGATCAAAAAAGCAGAAGAGGCTTTGGAAATGAGGCAGGTTTTTGTTCCCACTGAAGAAGGTAGGTGATAACATTTTCAGTTCAGCTACTGCATCAGGTTGCTAAGGCAGCTTTTAAAGAGAGCTGTAAAGGAATGGTTGAACCATGCATGGTCCCAGCTAGCAGAAGCTTAATTGTCAGTAGTGTAAGTGTTGGTTCTGACCAAGGTGTTGTGCCTAGAAATGAAAGACATATCTTCATATACTTCATTTGGTTTTCTTTTCTGGAAATATTTCTTCATCTGCAAAACAAAGCAAACAGCTGATCAGAACAGAGCTTGAAAAGACCCTTGCCAAGGAGTCAATTTAAATCTTACAAGTCATTCTGTTTGAAGTGGAAATGTACTTTTGAAATTCCTCTCATAACCCAGTGAGGTCTTAGAGGATTAGGTGGAAATTGTCAACCTATTTATTTAATTTTCTATTGTCAGCCTGATGTAATTTCACTAAAAGTTCCTTCAAGAGTTGGATGTAACTGTGGCCCCAACAAAAATAAGGCTTATCCTTAGTTTGTTTCTGACAATACGAGAGACCGGTTCCCACAGGGATGCTTGGCTTTGCCAGAATGATATTATACTACTGGTTTTTAGCAGCACTGAAGCCACATGTGGAGCAACAAGGTAAGAGCCTGACCTGTGAATCATACTCCGTTAATTTTGAGTAATTGAGGAGGATCTGTCAGTGATAAATAATTTCTGGGCACTTTCTGCAGAACAGGAATCTAAATAATCCCAGTAAAGGAAAAATTTCTTGGTCACCTTTTTTCCTAGGACAGGGCAAAATTGTACTCCTACAGCTACTTTCAGACATTAGGCTATTTTATGACTTTATGTTGTCCTTGTGTCCCCCTCCAAACATTCTCTTACATCTGTTACAAGATTGGTATATACAGCTCCATTCCCAATTGACAAAAAAACAAAAAAGAGAATAGTGAGGTGCTCTGTTCAGGGAAATACATGCAACACATGGCTGTGTTGTTAATTCCAAGGCTTACCCGAGGTTTGTTATCAAAAGGCAAACAATATCTCATCTAGTAAGAGTTACAGAAACATAAGAAGACAGTCTTTATTGTCAAGAATTTAGAGCTTGGAGACATTAAACAAGGGCAAAGAGGAGACAATAGAAAAGCATGATTCCTTACGTTTATCAAATGTTTGCTTGACTCTGTCACTATTTACAAATAAATTCAAATGCACCTATCCACTCAACCCAGATTTAGTTTTGCTTTGGCACGGTAACAGCATACTTACATCGACATGGTACAAAGTGCAGCATATCAGTGCAGAAAACAGTAGCACCACCACGATGACAGGACCATAGATGCCCCAGGAATTATTCCTGCAGTCTGTCAGCTCCACATCTGCATGTGAAATTACATTATTATTATAAATATGAAGAGGTATAATTCCTTTTTTATTATGAAAAATATTATTTACTGTTCAGCAAGAAATCAGATATCAACAGCATGCTACCCAGCCACATTTGTCATCCCATGAGTATCTCACTGGCATTCCCTGTGCTGTTCTAGAGGCTGGTGATTACTCCAGGTGGCATGTAAAGTGTCAGGGAGGAGTACTCTACAAAGGTGATAGCTTCCATACCACTAATCAGAAGTAGGACCACATACTCATAATGGAAATAGAAAATGTTTTGCTGCAGTATTACAGCAACACTGAGAGCTCGGCCAGGAGTATATAGGAATTATATAACAGCTAGGTTTGCCAGCAGTACAGACAGAAGTAGGAGGCTACTGTGAGGAGAAGCATCTACACTAGGCACAATCATGCCAGTAGAAAGAGTTACAGTTGTCCTAAACCTCAATCAATCCATATCTGAATAACATAATAGTTGTTGCACTAGTTATGGCTAGTGGCATAGAATGAGACCACAGACTTTTTTTGCAGACTGCAGATAGATCCTTTGCAACTCTTAGGGCCTATATAAACCTTATTTTAGTTACTGAAAGCTCTAATCAAAGCCCAATGCACAGTGTTAAATTGCACCAGTAAGATCAAAATCAAGCACTATATTGCTGGTTTTGTCTTCATTGTAGCAAATGGTTACAACACCATTCTGCAGAAAAAGAAAAAAACCCTGCCTTTGGAGCACATGCTCACGGTGTGCTCAGTGTATAAAAAGCGTATGTGAGATCATCTCTGCTATTATCTGTGGTACTTTAAGGAAATGCCTGAGGACTTGTTCTGTACTTCCTAGTATGACCTGTTCTTAAACACAAAGACTTGCTATAGGGAATGGCTTCTAAAAGACATTTATGTAACATCGAAGTCAAAGAACTTTTGCTAAAAATACTGATTCATTTCCTAAAACTGACAGATTATTCACAGACACACTGCAGTGTTTGTTGTCTGATTTTGCCCTTTTGTTTTGTTTTGTTTTGTTTTTCAAGATGTGGGATTCTTGCTATAATTTTTTACAATTCCCCTCTGGTTGAACAAGGCAGGGAGAAACACAGTGCCTATTTCTGTGTCCTAGTACAACAGGGGCAGAGGAGTCTGAACACTTCAAACTTTCCCAGGTACTGGAAGAAGTCTAGCCATGGATTAGTGCTTTACCTGTCCTGACTAAAGTTCTGCAAGATTTAGTCCACCTTTTGTATTACAACATGCCTATAGTTATTTATGATTAAACAAGCAAAAGGTCAGTACCTTTAACCAGCATCATGGTGCCACTTCTATGCGCTGAGAGGAAAGAGGAATTTTTCAACACCCCAACACACACATACACATCACTGTCGTTTTTCCACAGGTTGTGTAGAGTTATTACTATTTTCTTTTCTTCCTTTGAATACTCCAAGCGATTAGCAAAAGCAGGAAAAATAGTTGAAGCATTCTGACTTGAAACATACAGCACTCTTTCAGGTTGCATGTGAGTCTTGAGCAAGTAGATCCCTTCATCTTCATGTGAGCTTTTCAATGCACAGGTAATGTTGATAGACTGGCCTTGCTGAGGATTGACATAGACTGGTGACTGTTCAACAACTCCACTGGTTTTACCTAAAACCAAGAGAGGTTGATGGCTACCACATAGTTAACACAGAGCATTTTAACTAGGGAGCAAATACAGAGGTCAAAGACAGAAAGACTAGACCACAGAAATTTAGACAAAATTATTTTTTTAGAAGGCTACCTTTACACGTGCCTTGAAAAGAAAGATATATTCCAGTATGCCCTGTCATGTCTTCCTGCCCCAGGATCTGAAAGTAGGACTGACTAAACAGGTTTACCTGGTTGTAAATGGTCTCCAGCAACCTAGAAAAATACATATACTGAACTCTTCATTGGAACTAGATGATCTTTAAGGTCCCTTCCAACCCAAACCATTCTATGATTCTATGAATACAGCTTCATCAGCTTGCCTTGAGACACAGATTGTTGCCTGCTTTCTCAGCTGAGATTAAGCCATAGAAAGATCTGAAGACTATTGGTCTGAACAAAATAATACAATAGGAGCAACGTCAATGTTTAAAATGGTCTTCAAAAAGTAGTTATTACTGACTTTCTGTCCAGCTGAGAAGCCATTTCACTGAGTTCCTCTAAGGACATACCCTTTTCCTTTTGACATTATCATTAACATGGATGAGGGAATAAAGACAGAATTTATCACATTTGTACAAAAGATAATTCTGGAAAGGTTGCAAGCATTTTAGAGAATCAGAATTAAAAAGATATATTAATAAAATAATTTGGAGAAAGAGTACATAATCAACAAGATGGAATTCATTTGAAAAAATAGTCAAGAAGTGAAAGAGAAGCCTAAGGAAGGATGTGATAAGTCTTCATAGGTATAAATGACTACTACTGATCCAGCAATCAGTTTGATTTTGCATTACTTGGGAACAGGAAAGGAAGAAAACCCTGCAATTTTTGGCAAAGATATTTTGGGTTACATGGTCAAAGCAGAAGGGTAGATATGTAGAGGAATAAGCTGCCAAAGAATATTGTAGACTGAAGCCTAGACTCAGAAAAGTGGGGGAAAAAAGAAAAAGAAAAGAAAAAGACAGAAAAATTTTTCCCCTAAGCAGAAAAAACTGCCCAAAGGAGCACTTGTGCCCATTCATCAACTGTTTGTTAAGAAGAGAAAAAAAATCACATCTCTTTATTCACTGGTGCCCAACTTGCAAACTGCCTGGCACCAGCTTCCCAATTATTATAAATTTGTCATTTAAGATTAAATAGTAAAAACAAGAGATTTGCAAAAACCATTACAAAAAAAATTGCTCATTGCTTTGCTAGTTATTCATAAAGATTTGACTGATTGTTTTGGAAAGAGCTACGGATCCTCACTCCTTCTAAACTGCTGCAGTAACCGATGACTCATGTGAAACCCTGTAGCTAGGATTAAATTAGTCATGAACTGATATTCTAGGGGTTTTCTTGGTACTGTTCTATCTAATGTGGTTTCTTCATCTTTTCAGAGAACAGACCCACACTTGCCTTCAAATCAGTACATTACCTGAGCAGACATTGGTAAAGTCCTGTCAGACTCTCCCTCCCATTATGCTTTCTTCCAGTATTTGATTTTAATTTAAATATATATATATATATTTAAATATATATCTGTACTTATTAATTCATGACATAAAAGGCAGAATGGCAATACCTTTCACCACTACTATGGTTGTCTTCCCATTCAGCTTTTTGTGATGGCCTTTGTTTTTAATAAACTTAGTGCATAGGTAGATATTGGAATCAGATTCCTGCACATTGTTCACAGTTATCCTGAGATTGCTTCCTTCTTTTGAATACTTGATGCGATTAGCCAAAGCAGGAAGGATATATGAAGTATTCTGCTTGGAAACATATATCACATTGACTGGTTGTATGATAGTTTTCAAGTACGTTCCCACTTCATTTTCTGAACCTTCCATTGAGCAAGTTATGCTGATGGAATCTCCTTCCCAAACACTGATAATTTCTGTTGACTGTTCATTTTCTTCACCTAAAAATAAGAAATGCAATTGAAATTATAATATCAGAGTTCTTCTTTATTGATTATCAAAGTAGTTTTAAAAAACAACTACTCTGTCAACAGAACAGCTCTGTAAGACTGGACCTTAGTCTTGCTATCCTGCACATATCATCTCTTGGCTGTCCTGAAACCTACAGCGCCCTTCATTCCCATTGACCTGTGCAATTCAACATCTCCCCAAATCTTAAAAGGCCTTGGCAAAAAATGGCTTCTGTCACTCATGCAAAAAATTCTGTCTGCCCTGTAGATTCCCATTATGATCCTATTAGTTATCAAAACAGAAGCTTCATTGAACTCAGCCCAACAATTGGAGATGGTTGAGGATCTAAATCTGGAATTCGAAGGGAACAAAAAATGGCAGAAAATTTAAGAAAATTACAGGTTTTGCTTTTTTAAAAGGAGGCTTTAGCAACATCAGGAAACTGGATAACGTAGCCTTTTTGGAAGAGAACTGCAGAAGGTGTAACTACAGCCTATACTAAGTAACAAAGGTACAAAATACATGAGACCCTTTGAGGTCTCTAATGAATTCAGTATCAAAAGAATCATAGAACGGTTTGGGTTGGAAGGGACCTTAAAGATCATCTAGTTCCAACCTCCAAAAGAAACCGAACAGTAAGTACTTATGCGATGAATAGGAAGGAATAGAGAGATCAAATGGGAAACACCTAAAGGAAATTACATTACAAGCAAGGGAAAAAAAAATTAAATATAGAGTATTGCATATCTAGGACAAACATAGTATAGAAAGGATAGAATTATTCAGTGTTGACAAGAAATTAAGAATCCTTACATACTTAAAACAATTTCTTTTAATAAGGGAACAAACACTGAAGTCAAACACAGAAAGTCCAGATTGTGGGAATTTAGATACAGCAAGTCAATCCAACCCAACCAGACACAAGGACATTCCTTCTACAGCACTTAGAGAAGTAATTAAGGTGACCCAGGAGTTGTCAGCAATTACCTTTCAAAGCAGCAGAGAAAGAGGATTATGGAGAAGGCTGGAGAAGCACAAAGCACACGGCCTTTACAAGAGGGGAATGAAAGCCCAGGAAACTAACTTTCATCAGTGTAGAATCAGTACTTCTAAGCTGACCCACACTTACATGGTCTAAGAACCCAAGAAGCTAATAACAAGCAGCTACAGCCCATCAAGTGTTTTCTCCAAAAGATTGGGGCAGAAGTTCAAGAGTTAACATTATATTTGCAGAAATCAGTATTGATTCCTCAAAAAACCCGACTAATTAAAGAATGGTAAAAACATTCAAAATAAATATTCTCACTAGTTTTGCTGCATCTTCCTTTCAGACACGCTGACTTATGGACAATGTTTTTTTTCTCAAGGCACTATCCTTTCCAGTTATTGTCAACTGACATGAGGGAAAAAAAGGCTGACTGTTTGGAGACATCTTTTTCCTCAGCCTGTTTTCCTCAGACATTCACAGTTTTCCCCAAGTGTGCCTTGTACTCTCAATAGATAGAACAATATTCAGTAATGGATATCTCTAGTAACATATTTTTATCCCTTCAATAATTATGTCCCTATTAAATATCAATATTTGTGTCTATCCAGCAGCAGGCTCCCCCTGTCAACCTTAACGATACAGATGCAGTTCATGTCGAATTACTGGGAAAACAACTTCTGCTCTTCCTACAGAGAATAATTTCTGTCTAGAAAAGAAAAGTTGTGATGACAATAATTTTTTTTTTCTAAAAATTCATTCTGTAATTTCAGAGAATGTTTTTCAACCTGTTCCACCTGGTTTTGCTAATGGTGAATTTGTCAGGAACCTGTTTGAGACAACTTACTAAGAGGGAGGGGGGAAATAAGGAAAGAAAATATTGAAACTTGTGAAATATAACAGCATCTATGTTGCACGTACCGTTCTGGCCAGGGAAGCACAGGAGAAGCAGAAGAGAGAGAGATGCAGTTGGGAGACATAACGCCCGCAGCATTTTCAAAGGTTTTTCAGGTTGTTCTCTGTTATCTGGCCGATGACCTGAAGAAAGGGTTGTATGCTACCAGTTGGCCTGTTTTCTTCCAGTTACATCAGCTGTCTATTAAAAGAAGTTAGCGACGTGCTGCTTTTGCCTTAGTATTGCAACAAATGTGACAGAGGGGAAGCGAGATTTCTCTTGAGAGGTGTACCTCACTTTTGACTTCACACTTAAAACGCCCACGGTTTCCTACTACTGAAGAACCCCCCAACCCTGAGGGTAGGATTAGAAAGTCTCTATTGTGAACACCTACCTTCCCTTTACAGTTAACTGAGAAAAGGTAGGCTTAAAGTTGTTCTTCACAGTGCCAAAGTCAGGCAATGATCTCCTACTTGTGACCTTACTGGAAATGTAAGTGGTTGGTACAATCAGTTCAGTCTGTCAGTGTTCCCATGGGCTTAGCAGGCTGCCTGGTCAGTGGCTACAAATGCAAAAGTCTTGGCTTTGTAAGGAGCAAGTAGATGAGAGAAGCTCCATTACTTCAGGTAAACCTGAAATTATTATACAAACCCTGCTCACAAATCTACAGGTTTGATCTACATCTTGGCAATGACAACGTGCATCATTTCCAAGCAACAGCATGGTATGTACCTCTCACGTACCCCTGACTTCACATCTAAGAACACATTCTGTGGTGCCTGCAGTACACACGAGCTGCCAACCACCAGCAAAAGGGAATCTCAGCTACAGTTCACATGTAGCTCCTGCTCCCTCGCTGATGTGATGAAAAGCTCTTCTTGCAGGCACTGTTGTCTGTGTGAACACACAGGGAAAGGGGGTGCTCCCAAAGAGTTTTTTGAATGCTTGAAAGCTTAGAGATTTCATGAATTCTTGTACAGAAAACAGAGTTCAGGCAGGTTGTGAAATGAGCTTTCCATTAACCCTACAAAGGCTCACTACTAGATACAAAAGCAGATGCCAGGAGACACCTCTTACTCCCTGCCTTTGCTTTTCCAATATTTAAGAAGTGAGTCATGACAATAATACTGGATTTATGAGTTTGGGGATCGTGTGATGGTGATGCTTTGTAAAGGAGATTAACGTACCAAATAACAATGCAATCAACACAGGGTTACCAAAGAATAGCCAGTTTTTAAGCTGATGTTTTATTGTGATAATAATACAAAACAAAAAATATCATTAAAATGAAATTACAACTATCAAATTATAGCATTTGGTGGGTCAGATCGCTTAGTATCTTTAGTAATTTTTCATTTCAAAACCAAATATTTTCCTATATTTGTATATTGCAAAACAACACAATGCAGCTGTGTACAACAAACACTGCAGATCTTTGAAGTTATTTAAAAGAGTTTTTCCTGAGATGGTGTCCACCAGCACAACTCAGGAGGGGTAGAGTGAAACAGTTGGTAGTAATGCATCTGAATATCATAATCTGCATAATCGTCATAGAGACAAGAGATGTAAAGCAAAGTGTGCTTGAGTGAGCCATAAAGATCAGTCTGTGTCTTGTGACTAATTTAGCTAAGCAACTGTCACTTGGCAGAGGTGTCCATATCACCTTTCTTCTCAAAACATGTCCAGCTCTCTGGCCCCGACTGGTGTTAAAAAGTAGAAATTAAATCTGCACATCATTAAACCTGAATCCTTCAAGTTAATACAATGTAAATTCTCAAATATCACTTTGTTCCTTTTCCAAAGAATGCAAATCTGAGTTTATACCAAAACCACCCAGTGTCAGCCATTGATTTGATCACCATATACACCAACACACAAACACACAGATTTTTCCACATATCTACACAGAAATATTTGGTTTTCTCATTAAAAGTTCATACAAAAGAACTGTCATGGCCTTCAATTTTAAGACAGTCATTTTCTAGGTATAGGAAAATACTGTGCAGCTCATTAGAAATCTCCAGAAGCACAGCGTACAGCTCGATTGTGTAAGCTGGAGCATTTGGCATTTCCTCAAAGACACCCACAGCAATGACTTACAGCAGAGGGAAATGGAACCAAAAGCAACACCTGTGACAGCTGCACTGGGGCCAAAATGCAAAAGGCCCATACCTGATTTGAGTGCTCCTTTCCCAGGCCATAGCAGCAAATATATTATTTCCTCCAAAAAAGTTGGCTTTTATCCCAAAACAAACCTCTGCCTCACTCCTTTTAGATGCAGCTGTACTCTGCTGAAAGCTTACAGCAGTCCTGCTCTAGGAAAAAAACATGAACTGCAATTGTGTTAAGGTGCTGTATAAAGAGGAAAAGTCTTTTTCCTTCTAACTCTAAATCCATACACAGTCTGGACTTTTTGCAGGTAACCTTAGCTTTGGCTTACTGAATAAACATATATAACATTCATCATGATATCATAGAGTTCACAACTGGATCAGTCAAAACAACACACTGAGAAAACACCTAAAAGCCTTTGAATAGCTGGGGATTCCATGTCTTCGTGAAGTTGTGACTGCATTCTACCACACTAAAATTGAAAAGACTAAATCCAACAAATAAGCCCAGTTAAAAGGGTATCTTAGAGCAGCATGAGTGTAAAGCCCCCAGTGAGGACAGAAAAAAACCCCCAACCCATAACAACACTACTCTCCTGTGCCAAACAAGACAAATTTAAGCACAGTGGCTTTTCTGTATTTCTAACAGTAATTAATAACACATTTTTTGGATGTCTTTCATTATGAACTTTTCCCTTGAAATTTGCTACAATCAACTCTAAAGAGTCACACAACATCATACATCCTTTGAGATTTCCTGATGGAAGTTTCAGCTACAGGTTTATGGGTAATTAAATCGTGTGAAAACGATGCAGCAAGTTTTCATACTGCTTCATGGATCTGCTTTTCCAGTTGTGCTGCTGATTCGTTTTGCTCAAAAGCCTGATACTAGATTAGGTCTAATGCAAACTTTTGAGGATTTATTCAAATTGAGCGTGAATGATGAATCATTTGAAGATGACATACCACCTGTGAA